ACCTTGATCAACTGACTTTATTTTCAAAGTCTAAATCTTCTACTTGTCTCTTGGATCCGATTCCGACCGAGCTGCTTAAGGAAGTTTTTCCTTTAGTTATCACATCCTTATTAGATATTATGAATCTGTCTTTGTTGACAGGACATGTACCACAGTCCTTCAAGGTAGCTGTAATTAAACCTCTTCTTAAGAAACCTACTCTTGCTCCAGAGGTGTTGGCTAACTACAGACCTCTCTCTAATCTTCCCTTCCTCTATAAGATTCTTGAGAAATCCGTCGCAAATCAATTATGTGACTTTCTACAAAACAATGCTTTGTTCGAGGATTTCCAGTCAGGATTTTGAGCGCATCATAGTACAGAAACAGCACTGGTGAAAATTACAAATGATCTTCTACTTGCATCGGACCAAGGACTCATCTCTTTTTTTGTCTTGCTGGACCGCAGTGCCGCATTTGATACCATAGACCATTGTATCCTGTTGCAGAGACTAGAACATTTAATTGGTATCAAAGGAACTGCACTCAGCTCGTTTAAATCCTACTTATCGAATCAATCCCAGTTTGTCCTTGTAAACGGTGAATCCTCAAAAGACCACCAATGTTGGTTCAAGAATGTCTTGGAGACATCAAAACTTGGATGACCGGCAACTTCCTGATGCTAAACTCAGAAAAAACAGAAGTTATCTTGATAGGCCCAGAGCGCCTTCGAAGCCAGCTGTCACGTGATACAGTTTTTATTGATGGAATTGCTCTGGTACCCAGCAGCACCGTCAGGAATCTGGGAGTTCTCTTCGACCAGGATATGACCTTCAACTCGCATATAAAGGAGACTTCAAGGACTGCCTATTTTCATCTACGTAACATATCAAAAATCAGGAACTTCCTGTCGCAAAGTGATGCAGAAAAATTAGTTCATGCGTTTGTCACTTCCAGACTGGAATACTGTAATTCTTTCTTATCAGGCTGCTCCTATAAATCTCTTAAGCCTCTCCAGTTGATTCAGAATGCTGCAGCATGTGTATTAACAAGAACTAAGAAAAGGGATCATATCACTCCTGTATTAACTTCTCTGCACTGGCTCCCTGTTAAAATCAAGAATATATTTTAAAGGTACTTCTCACCTACAAGGCACTTGCTGGTGAGGCAGCATTGTATCTTAAAGAGCTTGTAACACCTTATTGCCCTACAAGGCAGCTGCGCTCCATAAATGCTGGGTTACTTGTTGTTCCTATGGTTTTAAAAAGTAGGCTGGGGGCCAGAGCCTTCAGTCATCAAGCACCTCTTTTGTGGAACCAGGTTCCACTTTCAGTCCGGGGGGCAGATTCGGTCAGCTCTTTTAAAGTAAAACTTAAAACGTTCCTCTTTGATTCTGCCTATAGTTAGGGCTGGCTCAGGTTAGTCCGGACCAGCCCTTAGTTTACCTGCTATAGGCTAAGACTGCCGGGGGACTTCTTAGGACACACCGAGCTCCTCTCTCACGCTCTCGTTCTACAATAATTCAAGTTTTATTAATGCACATGACTAATTCAGCTTCTTTCCGGGAGTTTTTTTGTGCTTTCTCCCCTAGCAGGTCTCCGTAGATCGTAGTTCCTTCTGGACCCTGGAACTGACACCTGCCGTGGCCCTGCTGACGCCTGCTGCTGCCATCATAATTATTATTTTAGATATTAATCATATTACTGTACTCGTAAACCAACATTACCCTCTCCTAAAGTCTCTGTGCTCTCCCTCCCCACAGGCTTCTGTGGATGGTGGTTCTATGTGATGGTGGTTCTATCTGACTCCCTGTTGGTGGTCAGTGGTCCTGCTGTGCGCCTGGCTTACTACTCACAATTACTTGAATCATTTCTGTCATAGGAATTGCATGTATTATACATTGTTCATTCTGTACACATGGCATCCATTGTAGTCTGTCCATCCCGGGAGTGGGATCCCTCCTCTGACGTTCTCCCTAAGGTTTCTTCCCCTTTTTTCATTTTTCATTTCACTTTTTCCTGTGCGGATGGTGGGTTTTGGGACAGAGGATGTCGTATGTGTGCAGACTGTAAAGCCCTAAAATTTGTAATTTGCAATTTTGGCATATACAAAATAAAATTCATTGAATTAATAATAATACTTTTGATTTTGGAGCAAAGATGTTTTATTGCAAACATCACATTTTCTCCTTGTTTCACTCCAATCACCCCAGCAAAGAATTAACAAAAACTGACAGGTTTGCAGGTATGTAAATAGCACTTATCTTGTACATGTTGACAAGTTCAGACAGCGTGCAGCAGCCCAACATGCTGAGCAATGGCGAGCAGATAATGAGAGCAGCTAAAAGAGTCGGAGAAGAAAGTGAAACTGGGATTTCACTTCTAGTTTTGTTCAAGCGATGATGAATCTAAGAAGAGAGTCCGAATGAAAATAGCACATGTTGGGGATTTTAGTCAGTATCTCAAAAATGTTTTTTTACACTGGCCTGAGTGAGGATTTTTTGAGGGAATCAATAGAGTTGTGATGGGAAAGTTTCTCAAATCCCCAGCTCACAGGTGTGGCTCATCTTCCTCAGAACTTTGCCTGTCAGGGCAGTTTGGGCAGTTTGGTTCGTTTTTCTTTTCTCCTTTTCTTCCTGCTATAAAGAAAAAGATCCCCAAATTCCATATCCATGCGTAAACAGATGCTGCTTTGATGCCGATTATGATTATGATTATGCCATTATCCTTTTAATGGTTCATACATTTGCCTGGCAGTCGTGGGACCTTTCTACCCAATCCACACAGCATCTTTAACACCAGTGATCTTGTTTTTAACAAAAACCTAGAGGAAGACGTCAGACTATCTCGCCCATGGGAACTACAGCTGCAGCTCAAAATCAGGTGACACACGTGAATCTAACCAACTACAATTCTTAAATGAACAGTTGATGGAGAAACAAATTGGACAGGACTCCACTAATCACTAATGGGTCACATATTCCTGAGTGGCAAAAACCAAGGGCGTCGGCAAAGGAAGTTTGACAATACGAGCAGAACAAGAATATGCACAAAGCTTCCTGTCCGATATGAAGCGGTGAACTTACTCTGGAATATGGAAGTGGAAACATGACGTGTAAAATGCATGTTCAATTAACAAGAACAGAAGAGTGATTCATAAGATGAATCTGCCTGCGCACCAGTGGCAAGTATCATTGTCTGATGGAGGAGGACAAACTCGGTGTTTTATGAGTGGGAAACTTTTACAAGGAAGAGTGCAGAAGTACGAGACGGGGACGATTGACAAAGTGCTGCAATAATAAAACTCCAACCGCAGGGCTTTTCTCTTCAATCCAAACTTATCGCTCCATCTACAATCGACCGGAACAAGACTCACATTTCACCTCCTCTACATACACCCGTTCTCGGATAGACGTCCAACTTGTACCACGCTGAAGCCCACTTGTGATCACAACTGTGCAGAAGGTCGGCTGTGTGAAAAGGCACATGAACATTGTGAAAAAACAGTTGCAGGGCTGCACACTTACAGGAAATGGATGTTATCGGGCCATGTAGGCTGCAGGCTGTGCTATCGGCTTGTGGTCAATCTCTTTCCATCAAGAGTGAGTGACTATCGGGTGTTTTAAAAATAATTCTGGGGCTCTATTACTTTGCTATTTTTGTATTTAATGAGATCATTTTTCTTAAACTACATTCACCACTATCATCGGTTATTGTACCAAACAGGAACATTACACAGGAATATCTAAAAAATGATAAACGTTACATGTCACGACTCTCAAAATGGTTGAAATGTAACTTTAAAAGAAATAAACGGGGAAAAAACGACCAGTGACACATGCTGTACCACACAGAACACCATGTGTTTATCTGCTCTACAGTGTGACGGGTCATCTGCATGACGAAGGCTGGCGTGTTCCTTCTGCCGGCTCCTCTGCGCATCCAAACAGGACAAGCGACCAAAGAGAGGGAATAGAAATAACCGGGATGGTAGAGATTTGGTGTTGTTTTAAAAGCGATAATTAAGGAAGCCCTCGGCTTTGTTGCCGTCCTCATGAATGAGTCCTCTGTAGTGAGCGCGCTGCTCATGTGGCCCGTACGTCTACTAGTGGGACCGTAGAGAAGACGGGCCTGAACAGGTCCCGCTCCGAAAGGGTAATGTGCACCTACAGCGGGTGGAGGGGAGTCAATGGGAGTGTTTGTGTGTAGTTTCAACTGAAACTTGGGTTACACGTGTCTCGTGTGTCCGCCCCTAAAAGCTTTACGTGTCCGTAAAAAGGTGATTTACTACTTGTGGTTATGAAGCGTTTCATCATGGTAAGAGCGCCGTGGGTTTAATGATGTACAACTCAAATGTTTCCCCGTTTCTTCATCGTTAGATTTGATGAACTATGACAGCAGCAGCTGCTGCATTACATACCTCAACATCCATCTCGCCGAACCTGCGAAAAGTCACCAAAGTTCACCGCAGTACTTTTCTATTTCAACAAAACGCCACATTGACCCATGCCTCTGTTCCTCCCCTGCCTGGAGGGGGGGGGGGGGGGGGGCCGACGTCCCGTGGCGCAATTGCCTTCAAGTCTCAGCAGCACGCCGAGAACCAAAGGCGAGGGAGGAAAGAGGAGAGGAAGGTTAAAGCGGAGGAATGCAGGGGGGCTGCAGGAGGGGGCTGTCAAAACATTAGACTGCTCACAAGGAGCTGATTCAAACCTGGTTGCATCCTCATTTCATGCTCCCTCCGCACGGCTCGCTGTTTCACAGAGGACCACGGCTGTGTCAAAAGATTGAAACCCCACGTCCTCTCTATTAAATGTGCCCACTTTGCAGTTGTTTGTATGGCGCCATGTGACATCCATAGAGCTATTGTGATATTTGATCTCATGTGTATAGTGTTCACATGATCCCTGGATCCCTGCGCCCTAAGCGACCAACACAGTTTCACGGTTGTGTTAAAAATGATATAAAACGCGTTACCTAAACTAACACAACGTTTCAACGCGGCTAGCGTGCGTCATTAAGTCTTACCTGGCCGTGTGATGCTCTGGAAGAAAAGCACGAGAACGAAGAGCGAGCCCAGGCACGTCGCCAGGAGCAGGCGTCCTCCTCCGGGCATCCTCATCCCGAAGCCCGGCTCTGCTGGCGGAGCCTCGGCAGCGCGGAGCCGCTCGGACGCGGTTCATGCGCGGGCACCCGGCGCAGGATGCGACACTCTCCGAGGAGTTAATAGCCTATTCATTAATTGAGAGAAAAAAGACAACGGTCCATCCAGGGAAGGATACAAAAATAAAAAAATAAAAACCTCAGTCTGAGTGCTACACGCCGGAGAAGTCAGCCGTTAATTTGAACGTAAGTGGGTCATAAATCCAGACCCGCTCTGGTCTTTGCTAGTTTGGTTCGGGTAACGCTAACGTAATAATGATTACATTTAAGTACGGGCATTTTAGATAACAATTAATGTTCCGTTGATAATGGCTAGCCCGAAGCAACATTAAAAGATATGAAACGGCTTTGCTTCTCCTTAGCTCTAGTTTTTGTTGGTGTCTAGAGTTCGTCGAGGTGACTGTCGGCAGAAACACAAACTTTTTCTTCGCCAAACATGGACGAGGCAGCATGCCGTGACGTCACACCCAGGTCTTTTTTTTCTCTCTCTCTCTGATTGCTGCATGCTGCCTTCGGGTACTGTCGTACTTTTAAGAATAAACTGAGAAAGTCGGCTTTTAGATGCCCTCTATTGTGTATAGTATGGCACAATGTGTCCTCACTTTATATTATTAAGTAAATCCAGTCACAATTCAAATTATAAGAAAAGGCACCATTCATTTTGTATTTTTGTACATTTTGCGGGATCGGCTGAACTGACCATACTCTCAAAGGGTGGGATTACGAGAAGCACTCGAATGCATCTCAACAGTATTTCACATAGATCTCAACATTGAATACGTTAGGTACAGAATGTCCTATGTCATCAAACAGTTCAGTTATGCTGATATACACATTTTCTTTAAATAAATGGAGGAAAATGCAACAGATAAATTGCAGCCACATCAGGAATCAGGAAACATTTATTGCCAAAATATGTCAAACATACAAGGAATTTGTCTTAGCGGTTGGTGCGTGACAGTAGACACAAAACAGACAATAGACATGGAACTTCCAGAACCCAAATATTTGAAGTCTGTGTGTTTTTCTCAGTCCCATCAGGGAAAATCTGTTTGCTGCTGTTGTGTCAACAGAAATATGTCTGCAGTGCTGGGCCGGTTTATTCTTGATTTGTGCATCATTGTGCAGTATTAAATGGTAGGCTTATTCAATACAATTACAAAGCACAACCCGTCAATTCAACTTTATACTAAAGAAGTTTAATTCCAAAACATGTTATATTCCGAATAACATAACAGCTCCATTAATAATTGCATAATATGTGGAGTTTTTATGCATGAAAGACTGGTTAACTCTGTTCTCTTGAAAAGTATTCTTCAACTTTTTTTCTGAACTTAACAGTCTGGACTTCAGTCTAGCCAGTATTGCTAGACTTTATAGGTAAATTGCATTTTTCCTCCACTTGTTTTTGTACTGGAATCCCCTTCTGAACAAGAGCACATGTGCATGCCAGGTCTCTGCACAGTAATGCCGCACTAAACTCAAGCAAGGCATTCAATCAACTGCAGGGGGAAGTTTTGACAAGTGGTATCACATTACCAATTGAGGTCTATGAGAAATAGATAAACTATAACGACAGTAATGGCCTGACAAATACAATAACATTAACTGGGTCCAAAAGTTGGATGTTTTGTTGAGTCGAGTTCATCCAATTTGCTTATTTTTTTAAGAATCGACTGTAGCCATCTGTAAAGTTTCCTTCACATAAAGCCGTTAATAGCCACGTGTTGAAACCAGAAGTGACATGCAGGGGGGGAGCTTAGTACAAATGGTGAAGATATTTTGGGCAACCAAATATGTTACAACTATTGTGAAAAAGTGAAAGGATTAGAGTTCTCAGTCCAAAACCCAGACACCACCCAGACCAGACGACGCCGCAATAACGATTTAGGAATAACATGGTAGACACGCACTAAAGCACACCCTGCTTTACCACTTGCACTACTCTAAATGGGACTATAATTTACTTTAATCACCAGGTATTCAAGAAGTCTTTAAACTAGCAATTGAGAGCATGAAATGTTTATTCAGAGAAAGAGACCCTTCTTCTTTGATTTATTGTAATATATGTATATTCATGGGGATGTGTTTTCTCCCTGAGAGTCAGGTCATGTTTGTGGAGCTGAAAGAGATGCTTTGCCCACCATGAAAAGGTTAGATCAATAGTAGAAACCCACACCTTTTGTTTGTGTGAACAGGCAAACATTCACCTCCAACAGGCTGATACAGACTAAATTACGAGTGTGAAAAAGTTAAGTTGTTCTTCAGTGTCCTCAAGGAACTTAATCGGACACTAAAGCTTAATGACGTGAATCATTTGGGAAGGATGAAGAAATAAACGTGTTGATGTTGGCAGGCCTTTAGGTTAGAATCCCTTTTTTGTCAAGACATGAAAGAAAAACTTTGGGAAATACTGCGCATACCATTCTTGCCCCCCAAAATGTGTGTAATCTGCAATCCTTCTCTAACACATCCTTTAAAATGCAAAACATAAATGCTGCAATAATTGCAGTTGATTTAGTCTTTCAGGTCCACCAACGGCAGGTGAATTAGTCCGAGCGTGGAGGAATCCCTGTCAGGGAAGTATACATTAGCAGTTTTTCTTCCAACATGTGCTGTAAGACCTGCACTTAGTGGTTACCTTCATGGACGTTCTTTCATCTCACATGGTTTTCTGTCTTGTGGTGTTGGGATGGGCTGGAATGCTTTGCCCAGTGTGGACACCTCCCATATACAAAAAGACAATGATAGGGCCCTAAAACATGCTACACAACATGAAGAGACCTTTTCTGCAAGTGAACATGAATATGTTTTTAAGTCCTAATCACAGGCCTGCGGGGGAAGCCTATAATGCGCCACATGTATAACATGAGCTGGTTGGAATCATATGAAATAGGTCAGGTCACTTTACAGAGCAAGGAAACAGAACATTTAGCTAATTTGTTATCATATGAAGTTTATCACAAAGTAAGTGAAAATTACATTTGTATACAATTCTGAATCTACTTTCTCAAAGGTCAACACAATGCCAGAATAATGCAAACAATAACACAAAATCAACCCTCCCGTCAATCAATCAATCTATCAACCCTTTGGCCAAAAGGTGAAAACATGAAAAAAAGCCCCACAAAAACCTCATGACATGAACAACCTGGCTGGCACTTTAATGTTCAGCGTGTATAATGAGCACGCTCCTTTTAAATGCATTCAACCCTCTAATCCATGACGCATCAATGCGACCAAAAGAGTGCACACATGTAAACATGTTAAACGTAAGGCCTCTGTGCCGCACACGTCACCCTGATGACCTGGGTTCAAACATCTGCCTAAAAAGGAGTATGACTCCTAAAATCCTAAAGCGTTTCAAAATACAGCACACGACTGTGTGTCATCACAAGTTCTGGCCTTCAGTTCAGAGTAACCAGTTTCTCTTATTGTGTAATAATATAAAGCAACGTATTTACGATACACAGCAGTTGAGTTGGAGAACGGTCTTCTGAGGGATGAATTGATTTTACTTCCCCCCCCGATACCCAAACTCTGTGTGGCTGCTAATATCAATGACCAATCTGATACCGGAGGTTGTCTTCTACAATTTAGAATGTGTGAGCCGTGCCCTTAAGTGGGATCATCTTTTTTGTAAATTCACACGAGGCTGTAACCTCAGCACGTAACTTATATCAAATAATTCTATCTCATTCATATTTTTTACCATGTTGTGACATCAGTGGAAACACTGTTTAACTCGTGGCCGACGTTTAAGTAGTTAAGCTCGTTGTCGAGCTCCCGCAGGCAGCGATGATTAACGTCGCTTATCAAATGGATCAACGCAATCAAACTAGCGCACTGCAGCAAATGAACGGAATTGGTCTGATTTGGCCGATACCCGAGCTGCTCAAATGACTTTATTCATGTAATACAGAGGCTTTATTTCCCTTCTTTTTCCCCTTAATAAAGATGCAACACTTAGATGAATCTTGTCACCCTTTGACGTTTGGTCTCTGTTCCGTCTCACGAGCCTGCAGAGATTATTGGACTGTAAAAGCACTTTCACTAAACCAATACTTGTACCATGGAGAGCGTGGATTGCAATGAGTGATGCGTCCGTTCACTCTCAGCGGTTATGGTTGTGATGCTACATAATAAACGCGGCAGAAGAAGAAATAAGGACAATGGGGCCCCCGTGGCGCTGCTGCTAAGACGGCCGAGGGATTTGCTCTAAAAGGCCAGCGCTGCCAAACAGACACCAAAACTCCTTCAATGTGCGTTTTCATGATCATCAAACCACCTGAGGACCAATGGAGGGTTTGTCACTGACTAGATGTGTGATTGTGGCAGAAGAAAATGTTGCCGATTAAATACAAGTGCTGACTCTTAAAGGGCAAACAAAGCAAGATGTGATGTCCACTTTTGTTGTGTTTTGCACTAGTTTGTACTTTAAATTTAACCTGACCAGCATGTTTCCTTTATTTTGTGGAGGAAACAGTGCACCCCCCCCGTCTTTTTCTACTAATGTAGTTACGAAGTGCTTTTTCAATCAAAAACTTGATTAATTCTTTATTATTAAGTCATACATAGTCCAACATGTATGCATGGCAGTGCATTGCTAATGACTGCTAATAGGAAATGGATGAGTCTAGTTGGATATTTAGCCAAAAGCACCAGGAATCCACCAGGAAAGCCTTGTTGCATAGAAGCAGCCCTGTGCATTTGTAAATGCTGGACAATAAGTTATCATGTATTATTCTCTAAATTTGCTGCCCGGGTCACTACAGGGACTGAAATCCAGCAGAACGCTGTGTGCGGAATGCAGCAGAAGAAGCCAGCGTTGACTTTGATGCAGGAAATGAGTTCAGTAGGTGCATCCTGTAGACAGTAATACATGCAGGCAAGGTGCCCATCCAGCTCCTCTGTGACTTGTAATCCTCTAGAAGGGAAAACGACACGATTGATCATCTTTGTGGGTATTTTAATGCGTGGTAACATTACATTTGGTTAGAGGGACAAAGCTAATTATTATAGTTACTGTAGCTGTCAAATAACGTGGTAATAACCTGCTCCTATTGCATTTCAAACACTTCAGAGTTACCAAAGTGGTTCCCAAACCTTTTCTGTCCAGCCCCCCTGTGACGATGTAAGACCATTGGCCCTTTGTATCCTGGTGTGGTGAAGCCAGCTTTGTAATACAAATTCTTTTGTGAGGCATAGAACTGGTTAGAGAACATGATTGCCCCCTATGCATTTCCCTTATGGAATGCAACTCTCTTGATCTAGTTGTCCTTTTTGTTAATACATTTGCAATAAATGCTTTGTGGAATCGGTTCGTGCATAAAATATGTATCGCGGGAATCTTTGCTACCCACTTTGAGTCTCTCTTTCATAGTAATTGCTGTACTCCAACAATGATTAGGTCATCTTCAAAGGAGAGTAGTCTTCACACAGTCCGAACCCTCCCACATGCTGC